TAGCAGCGCAACAACAAGAACAGCGACAACAACGGCGACAACAACAACTCAACTTAATAACACTTTGCAGTTGTCGCTGCCCAGGGCAATCACCCGGTACTTCCCCCATCCCAACCCGTGACCTCCTCCCCTTTGGAGGTTGCTCCATTTGGAGCTGGACTTGGACTGCATTAATTTGGAAGGCAGAGTAGCCGGGAAGGAAAAAGTTGATCACTTCCCCTTCTCTCACCTTTCTCCGTCGGGATATTTGTTGTTGCCGCAATTGTTGCATGCCCGTCAGTCAGTCAGTCATTTATTCGGTCAGTCAGTCAGTCAGTCAGTCACTCAAGCTGCCAGTCATTCAGTCAGTCCGTCATTCCGTCATTCGTGTGTCCATGTGCGGGGATAAAAGCGTCAACACAAATGACCCGCTGGCAACTTGCTTCTCGGACATTTTAACGGAATTTCAAGCACCTTGCAGTGGACCACTCGGAAATTGAATCTTTCGGATGCCAATTCATAGGATGCGCTTTTAGAAATTTTAAATGTGAGTAAAGGGTAAGAAACGCAGTTAAAAAACTAGTTTAGGCACTTAGTTTTTAGTAAATATCTTGAGCTATAGACATATTAAACTATGTTACTGTAAACGTTCTTAAGTACAAAACGGTTCTGGCACTTCCAACTTAATTTGCAATTCTTCTCAGAAGAAGAATTGCTAAAGACCGAGAATCACTCTAGTCATTGACCCGTAGAGAGTGTACTCTAATCGCTATCTTTTATCTGTCTCTTTGTCTTCTGCTACCTGAATTGGTTCGCGTAATTTGCCTTTTGATAGCCCGAGATCCACCATCTCGGGGCAAGTTGTTCCACATGTTTGTCACGTGTGGCGAGTGAACTCAATTACCCTTGCCCTCCCCTCTTCTTTCTCAGCCGAAGAGCCCCTCCTTTTCCTCTGACAGCAACTATCATGGAGAAAGCACTTCACAAATTGAAGTGCAGCGCGAGAATTAGAGAAAGAGAGAATTGGAGAGGGCACACGAAGCACTTCCGCAGCTATTTTCCCTGTTTTCCTCAAGCGATTGTTATTGGGAAAATGTCAAAGGCACTTGATGTTGATCACTGCCCTGCAAGAGATCATCCGATGCACTGAGAAAAATCAGCTGATATAAAGTATTAGGCTCAATTTTACTGTTTCGTAATTTTTCAAAAGAAGTGAATATTTTTGGGATATATATAAAATAGTATTTCTCAGGTATCTTAATCAGAAGTACCTAAACATAATTTAGAGTTTCTCAGATTAAAATATTTTTTAGTAAAATATAATAATGAAATCTAACCTTTTAAAATATATTCTAAGGTATACCATTTCCACATCCTTAATGGCCGAAATCGAATACCTTTCCTATAATAATGATCTATTATAATTATAATAGATAATTATTATAATTATATTATATTATATTATATTATATTATAATCTATCAATCTAAATCCCTCATTTCCTTACTTGGCTTTGGTGTTTTTCAGTGCCTGGTTGTAAATCAAACGAGTAAGCGAGCCAGCGAAAATAGAAAAAGGGGCCTGGATGCGTTGCACTTGCCTCGACATCGCCGTCCCGTTCCCACTCCCCGTGGCCAAATGATGGCCTCTCGCTCGCTCCGCTTTTAATTATAGCCACGTCGTCTGCGAAGCGGAAGTTTGTTTAGGATATTTGGCATTGTGTGCTGGCATTTTACAAGCTCATGCAGCTGCCTGCATTCATATGGCGCCGTCTCTTCAGATTCCCTGACTTTCCTGACTTCCCTTTCCCTGCCCCTTCGGAATATCTCTGCCCCATTTGGAGACTATATATCCCAGGCATCCGAGAGTCCATGATGCGAATTATTCAAATAGCTCGCGCCTGCCTTTGGAGCGGTCTGCATGCGGGCCATACAGCTCGACGACTTTGGCATACAAATTAGATGCAGCGATAATCGACTATTCAGGTTGACTGCCTCACTGGCAACCCAACCTCCTACAACCACTCCCTATCCACCCCTATCCACCCAAAATGCACACACGCACTGGCTGCGAAAAAGCTTACCTGTCACGGGTTTTTGCTCTTGAGCGCCTTTAAAGTGAATTTTTCAGTCCAAAATAATCCCTTCTTTGATATGTTTGCCGGTTGTAGCTGCAAAAGAACAATTTTCCAGATACGATTTTAGTTTTTCGTTTCTTTTTGGCGAAACAAATTTCAGTGACATAAATTCTACACGAAATTAATGTTAATCCTGCTAAAGCAAAAGGGGAAAATGTCGCAGACAGCAACGTACATAAGCTGAAAAAAAAGAAACTTGAGGAAAGTTTATACGAATATTGCATTAATGTTGCAAGAGATATGAAAATATACCCAAATGTTAAGATATGTCAAGAGCAATTTGATTTTATTTTATTACATAAGCTGAAAAAAAAGAAACTTGAGGAAAGTTTATACGAATATTGCATTAATGTTGCAAGAGATATGAAAATATACCCAAATGTTAAGATATGTCAAGAGCAATTTGATTTTATTTTATTACATAAGCTGAAAAAAAAGAAACTTGAGGAAAGTTTATACGAATATTGCATTAATGTTGCAAGAGATATGAAAATATACCCAAATGTTAAGATATGTCAAGAGCAATTTGATTTGATTGATTCCAAATAAGACCGAGATTAAATAAATTTTCTTTGATTATTTATTTAACAGTTTGAAATTAAAATAGTAAAAAACGCAATAAATATTTGAAAAAGCTTATATTTATTCAAGGTAAATATATTAAATTACTTACATAATTGTAAGATACCATATATTCCTACTTTAACAGTTAACAAACCTAATTCCATTACAGGAATTGCTTGCATTTAAAATTGGATTATCCCTATGATGTTACAATGTGATTTCTATAAAAATTCACCGCATAAACTGCTGTAAGAAAAATGTACTTTTTGATTCCGTGTCTAGACTGAGGACAAGTTTTCTATGCCAAATGCTGCCATAAGGCAAGAGAATGGAAAAGAGCGCAAAAGGGCGACGGCAGCGCTAAAACTTCTGCAGCGCAATAAAAAGCCGCACAGAAATCAAAAATCAAGAGTGGAAACTTGCGGGCCAACCCCACGAGATGGGAGTTGGAAACTCGGCAATAGCAAAAGCAACAGCAACCCAGCGAAAACCACCCATCAACCCACCCAGGAAAATCACCCAGGCAGCAGTGCAACCACCCGCCCCCTTTAACCACCCACTTTTGGGGGTGGCAGCTTGGCTATTTGCCTTTTGCGAAGGACGCAGGAAGCAAAAGGACGCTGCGCGGAGCGTATCGCGTCTGGATCAGAAATTGCAGACGGGCCTAATGGGATAAACTAGGTGTAGCACACACACAGCTGGAGCCAAAATAATACAATTTGTCATGTGGAATATTCTAAAAATCATATTTTAGCCTATTGGAATTTTTTAAAAAATAAACCAACCCTAAAAGTGTGCAAATTTGAAACATATGGTGTTTATACTTGGATTTGTACTTTAAAGTAGCTTAGTTATAAGATGGAAATCTCATTAATAAAAATTAAAATGTAAAATTAAATAAAACAATATCTTAAAATAGTTTTAAGATCTTTAAGATTTAAAACATAAATTCTTTGAAATGTTCATAAAATTAAAAAATATAATAATTAATATCTGGAATATCTTAGCTTAATAACTCCTTTAACCTCAAGGATATACGGATTTAGTATTATGGCCGCATCTGTGTAGTGAGCTATAATCCCAGACAGTCGTGTGACAAATTTTATCATAGCTTTAGAGGAAATACTACGCGCATAAAAATGCATAAATGGAAAACAAGAAACCTGCAGAAGCTCGCAAATTGTAGTGTTCGCGTGGTGTAGGGAAATTTGCATTTCCACTTCATCGAAATTCGATGGCTCGAAATAACCCCACACACACACACACATACACAAGGATGGAGAAGCCACCCACACATAGACAGCCAGACAGGCGCCAACTGGAGGGTGGAAAACCGGCTTGTTTTGCCGGCGAAAATGCGTAAAATAACGGCAGTTGGAGTGCTTTTCCAGATTTTACTCACCGGCGAGTTTTTTATTGTTTCTCAAAGTCTTGGTTGATAAACTCCAAATTATGCTCAGACTTTTGGTTTTTAGTCTCGTTTGTTTTTTCTTCACCACTTGGTATTTAAATTTCAATATTTTTCTCTATTTTGTAGCATTAGTTGCTGCGAATATTGTAGCACGGCACACACACTGACGCACACGCGCAGATAAACACAGAGCTTGATGTCCCGTTAAAAAAGCGCCGCACTCACGAGTCGCGACGTCACGTCCGAACGAGTCCGATTTTTCGCGGGAATGACGTAGGAAGTCGATTTGAAAATTCATGTGTGGCCAGTCCTGTTTGCACTGGATTAGGCTGCATTCTGTACTGTTGGCTTTTGGTGGTGTTTTTTTTCGGTTGCAGGCAAGGTCTCACCTTTTATGTACTTTAAATTAATTAATAATCAAGTTTAATTGATAAATTATAATTAAGAATATTTTAATTTATTATAATATAAGTAGAAAAATTACTTGTTTTTATTTAATATGCTTGTTTTTTGTCACTCTCCGTGTTAGCCTAGACACAAACCAGTACACGTTAAGGCACAAATAAATCAAGTTGGCAGCCTTCAAATCAAAAAGAATATATTAAGGGAGTTCCTCCAATTGACTAAATATATATTTCTGTTGCTCTGTTTTATGTTATTATTTTTTGTATAATTTTATTTAACTTGGTATCATGTGGTCATGAAAGTTACAATATTTAAAAACGTAATTTTTTAAACCTATATTTAAATATATATGTTAAGTATATATAATATTAAAAAAATTACCGTTCGTTAATTTATTGAAGTTTTGTAAATAAATTTTTTATTTTTAGACACTTACCAGAAACATAAAAACAGAAAACGAACGAATCCCCCTACTATATTAGTATTTTTACCTTTCCATGGTATTTTCCAGCAATCCAGTTGAAGCCAACAATTCCTTCGAGGATTTCAACCGAACCCCAAACAAAACGCGCAATTGCCTTTGATCGGAGATAAACCACGTATTTTCCACGGCCCAGCGATGACGGAAGCGCCGCCAAAAAAGCGCAATGCCTGCGTCATCGTTCTGGGCGACATTGGACGCAGTCCGCGGATGCAGTACCATGCGCAGAGCCTCCTGGAGGAGAACTACCACGTGGACGTGATTGGCTATCTGGAGACGCGGCCACTGGAGGCGCTAACCCAACATCCCCGCTGCCAAATTCACCCGCTGACGGCCGTTCCGGTGACCAATCTCACGCCCAAACTGCGACTGCTCTTCAAGGCCTTCTGGCAGACGCTCAGCCTGCTGATGGCCCTCATTTCGATAGGGCGTCCCAGCTTTCTGCTCGTCCAGAATCCCCCGGGGATTCCCACATTGATTGTGTGCTACCTCTACTGCGCCGTCAGCCGCACCAAGATGGCCATCGATTGGCACAACTATACCTACACTGTGTTGGCTTTGGGCATGTCCAACGGGGAGCAGAGCCTGCTGATTCGGCTGGTGAGGCGACTGGAGCGTTACTTTGGCTCCAAGGCGCACACGCACTTCTGTGTGACGCGGGCCATGCAGGAGGATCTGCAGCGGAACTGGGGGATAGGGTAAAACATTGCCTATAACCAACTAAAGATGATCAATTACTTATAACTGCCTTATTTTCCAGCCCCGTTAAAGTCCTTTACGATCGCGCGCCCTCGCAGTTTCATCCCATCGACCTGCCGCAAAAGCACGAGCTGTTTTTGAAGCTGTCCAAGGATTACCCGCAGTTCCAGGGGAAGGACACCCAACAGTCTGATGTGCTAGAGGCCACCGCTCTTACCCAGAAGTTGGCCAACGGCAGTGTGCAATATAAGCTCCAGCGACAGGCGGTTCTCGTTTCGAGCACCAGTTGGACGCCGGACGAGGACTTTGGCATACTCCTGAAGGCTCTGCAGGCCTACGAGGAGACGGCGCAGGCGGAGCCACAGGTGTATCCCTCGCTGCTGTGCGTAATCACCGGAAAGGGACCGCAAAAGGAGCACTATGTGGCGGAAATCGAGAAGCTGGAGTGGCAAAAGGTGTCCGTCATCACGCCCTGGCTGGAGATCGAGGACTATCCCACTGTGCTGGCCAGTGCCGATCTGGGCGTGTGCCTGCACTGGAGCACCAGTGGGCTGGATTTGCCCATGAAGGTGGTCGATATGTTTGGGAGCGGCCTGCCTGTCTGCGCCTACGATTTCAAGTGGTGGGTAGACCTTTTGATTATATATAACATCTTGAAATAACACTTAATTTTGTTTGCAGCCTGGATGAGTTGGTGAAGCACGGCGAGAATGGCTTTGTGTTCGGCGACCATGTTCAGTTGGCCGAGCAGCTGCGAATTTGGTTCGAGCATTTCCCAAAAAATCCTAGTATTCTGGAGACGCGGGCCGTTTTTCAGCGCAGTCTTCAGGCATTCCAGGAATTGAGATGGCGCGAGAGTTGGCGGTCTATTGCGGCTCCCGTGCTGGAGGCATTTCTCTAGAGCATTTTGTGTTGTTTACTTTACAAAACACTTGACAATTACACGTTAAGACAGACGTTCTGCAATTACTTATCGCTTTTCTTCTGCTAGTTGCTAAAAATCCACTGTGCACAGGGGCTCAACACTATATTTTATCATTTCATTCTGCAGAGCTAAAATATTTATTTATAATCATATTTTAAATTTAATTAAATGTATTTATATTTGTCTATTCATTTCGTACTAATGGTGTAGATACAATTTTTGAATTATTCAAATGTATATATTTAGACGGTTTAAAAATGAAAGGATTTTAAAGAAACCCAAAATATTCAAATTCAAATATTTTAGTTAATGCATTTCAAAGTGAATGGCAAAAAACGAAGAAGAAGCTGGTCAGCTGACGTTTATTGACTCTGCTAGAAATTTTTTAGTGTGTACTGTACATAAGGAACGCTATACACAATAGGAAAATTCTGATTAACAACAACAAAAAAATGATGGAGATGTTTTTAAAATAAACAAAAAATAATTTATACAAAAGTAAAAACAACATAAATCAATAATATAAAATAAATAATTTTTAAATATATAAAACGTATCCGTGTTCCATACTCCACCGTTCCACTTCCATCCACGCTAATTCGCGCCAAAGGGTATTTTGGTCACACGACGGTCACACTGAAACACCACTTCACCCGGCTGCATTAACCATTTTTAACAGAAAATAAACTAATTAATTAAATTCCTGCTGACATGGCCACCCAATGCCGCAGCTGTGGCGAGCAGATCTTCACGCCGCAGCCAAAGAACATTTTCGAGAAGCGCAACCATCGCATTCGAACGGCCATCGAGCAAATCACGGGATTGGAGGTGGCGTCCCTTCTTCCATTTGGTGTCTCGAATTATTTTATTTATTTATTTTGATTTATACAGATTCGCCTGGAGGCGCTGCTGCCCCAGCACATCTGCTCCTGCTGTCTCCTGGACCTGAGCCAGGCCATCGCCTTTCGCCAGCGATGCCTGAAGACGCACGAGAATCTGCACCAGAGGTCGCCCACCAAAAGCATCGCATCTTCCTCCTCATCGCCCACAAAAGTGGTGGCCAAAAAAGTGGCTGCTCCAAGAACCATCGTGGATTCTGTGCAGCTAGATTGTGATCCACTGTTTAAGCGGGAAGTTCTGGACGATATGAGTGAGCCGGAGGATGATAAGGAGTTCCTGGAGGACGATAAAGAGTTTTTGGTGGACATAAAACCCGTGATTAAACCGCCACCACCCAAGAGAATGCGGCGCGAGGAGCAAAAGCTGCCCAACAGTCAATCGCCACGTGTCATGGTCAAGCGTCTGCGTGTGCCGGAGTCCAAAAAGGCCGACAGTCCACCACCAGTGCGTCGGGAACCTGGCAAGCGGGTCAGAAAGCGACGACCCAAGCCCAAGGTCGATCGTTCTATCAAGCGTTATGTGTGCGACCAGTGCGGCTGGTCCTTCAACGACCACAGCAACATGAAGGACCACAAGTTGCGGCACTTTGCGGAGAAGTATTCGTGCGACGATTGCGGCCGAAAGTTCTACACTTTGCCATTGCTTCGGCTGCACGTACGAGTGCATCACAAGGGCGAGAAACCGTATGTCTGCAAGTTCTGCGGCATGGGATTCGCCAACAGTCCCAGCCGCTGTCGGCATGAGCGGTGAGTCTAGTCGTTCTCCTTACCTATAACTTACCCATTTAAATATCTATCACCTTTCATAGACAAGTGCATCCCAACGAGCTGACCCATGCCTGCCGCATCTGTCAGAAGCGTTTCAACAGCGAGAAAGGTCGGGCCAAGCATGAGGAGGGACACAAAAGCGACCAGCCGGATGTCTTCCTGTAAGATCACCTTCTGATTTATCCAAAATATACAAAATAACAAGTATCCATTCACAGCTGCCTCACCTGCAACAAGGAGTTCAAGGAGGGACAGTTCTTGCAGCGCCACTACACCACCAAGTACCATCGCAAGCGGGAGAATATGCTGGTGGAGGGCACGAAGGAGGAGTTCCAGTCGGACGGAGATCCCGAGGAGGCTCCCGGGTACATGGAAGAAGGACAGGCAGAAATGGAAGACAGCCAGGCCGAAATGGACATCCTTCTGGAGGACACCGCCTATGATCAGTACGAGAATAATGAGGCACTTTTGGACGGAGAGGAGGGGGCTATCGAGGATTTCAACAATTACGAAACCATCATAGAAGAGCTGTACACTTAACTATTCGCGCAAAAATATTGTTACGCACTTGGCGCCAAATATTCACAAATGCGAGGGATGCAGGCTATCTAATTACTTGGTTTGAAGAATTTTTTTTTTAACCAGCAAATGTGCCAGCACCTTTTTTGACGCGTTTTAAATTCGGGTACTATTTGTTATACAAACAATTATGCTAACTGATTATGATTTTCAAATAAAAGTATATGGAAATAAAGACCCACTTTAAACAGATTTTTGTCGAATGCAACAAACTTATTTAAATTAGTTAGTAGAAGGTTTTGGAAAACTTGGAGTGTTTATAAAAATAATACAAAAAATTAAAAAATATTTCGAGCCCCTGGTTTGATCAAAGAAAGAACAGTTATGTTTACGAAGACGATCTGGCAACGCCAAAGGCACAACAAAAATCTTAGAGCTCTATTTTAAAGTAATTTTATTGTATTATCCCGAATTAAAGTGTTTAACAATCAGGTTTACGTTTCTCAGTTCCTTTCTAGGCATGCTTTGATCATGGATTGTTCGAAACCATTGAAAATGCAGAAATAAGATTGGACGCTACCTACATTTATCCTAATTGACCAAAACTTAAATTTAATACCTAATTAATATCGTAACAATGGCTGTCCAGTGCCGATTGTGTGCTTTGTTTTTCTGCAAATTGAATCCCATGATAATATTCGACCGCGGACTTCTCGCCAAGATCAAAGATCTGACCGGAATATGGGTGAGCTTCTGGTTTCACTACATTCCCCGTTATCTCAATTCCTCACCATTCACAGTTACGCGATGAGGAGCACCTGCCACGTCACATTTGTCCCTCATGTGTGAATGAGCTAAATATTTTCACTGATTTGCGGCAGAGCATTCAACGGAACCACAATAGACTTAAGATGAAAAAAGAAACTATAAGTGCTCAAGATCTGGAGTCTCAAATGTCAAGTACGGATTCAGAAGAGGATTGGAACCTGGGAGAATCAGAGGAATCCTATGACATTCCAAAAGTTGACAATCCAAAAAGTAAACAAGACTTCAAAGAACGGAAACTATCTAGCTTGGAAGAACCAGCATCTGTAGATCTCGACGATATCTACAATAGTAATTATGATTCAGAGCCAGAGAAATATAATGATGATTGGTCCAATTTGAATAGTGTAGATGACCCAGATCCACTTAAAGCAGAAGATCACATAGAAGCTTCATCCTACAAACAGAAACTTTTTGATCAGGATTCTGATGCACATGCAGAGAACATGTTTTCCCCTAAAAAATCTAAAGTATCCAAATCTAAAAGTGATGCAAAATCTGTGAGCTATGAAAAATGGAAACCATTAAAATTAGCTAATCAAGCTCAAAACAAGTCAGTTTCCAAGAAATCTTCAAAAAATATTAAAAAGGCTTTCGCTGAGACTTCTGTTGGAACAGAAAATATTACTCGCGGAGCTAATTTGAAATACCCTAAAGAAGGGAAATTCATTCAAATTGAAACTAAGATGTTGTTGTATAAAACTAGATCTACCTATAATACCAAAAAAAAACATCCTCCATTGAATCTGGAAAACGAATATGATTAGAAATGTGTGTTCATTTTGGTTCAGAACTTTAAAACAATCTTTACACTGCGTTTATGTTTTTGTTTGTAACTGGATTATCTTTCGTTAAACTTATATACGCGTTACGTACATATATTTGGAAAATGTACTTTTTATAACTTTTTTTTTGGCATGGAATTGTCTTTTGTGTTTCATATTATATTCAGAATCTAATATATAATTTAATCCAAACAACATGAAATTTATGTTTAAATTTCAAATTTGATATTTAATAGCCTTTAAGTTAATAAAGAAGACCAATTTAATTTTCATAAATAGAAAATTTAATGTAAGAATATTTATTTCGACTCACTTATTCTTTGTTCTTATCTTTTCGACCGAAAATTCTTTCCTTGGTTCAATAACAGAAGTGTAGATTTTAAATTTTGCCGCCATTAACTGGCATTCACCCAGGCACGCGGTCACCGCATTATCTGGAATTAACCAATGGGAATGGTTAAAATACAAATAATAACAATGCGGAAAGGGATGCGTCTCCCAAAGTAAAGCCGAATTTACGCGGAAATAATAACTAATATTAAATAATAATAATGCCGCCGCAATGCCGGTTATGTGGGGACATAATATACACCAAAGACCCGGTTGATATATTCAAAGGCTCCAGTGAACTTACCAAGCACATCGCTTTGTTGACGGGAATTTCGGTGAGTATTCATGTCAACAGTAATTATTAATAATAATTAATAATTTTTTTATTAAAAACATCGCATTTCGCCTAAGCAGCTCAGTGACCACTTCGATTTGCCCAGAAATATGTGTGAGTGCTGTCTACTAAGCCTAAAAAGTGCGATAGCCTTCCGAGAACTCTGCATTAAGACCAACTATAAACTAACAAGAAATCGAAAATTGTTGAAAACTGAAGATGAGAAGGATTCAAATGATCCCCTAAAGGAGAGACCCAAGGTGGAGAAAATAGAGAAGGATGCGGAAGACGAGGAGGTAGACTTATGCAAAGAGGAATCCGATTATGAGGAAGAGGAATTCATTGAAGAACTGGAGGACTACTATGAAGAGTGCACTGAAGAGCAGGAGGAGTTAATGGATCTCGATGAGGAAATTCAGGAAGATGAAGAGGAGATACAAGAAGATGAGGAAAAGTTAGAGGACGATGAGGAGGAGGCGGAGGTAGACGAAGATGAGGACTGGACACAGGGAGATGAGGATGAGGACTCTGAAACCAATGACGGAAGTATCAATGATTCAAGACCCAAAGCAGCAATCGGAAAAGACCAACCCAAAGGAAATTCCCCAAACTCCTCGAAAAATTCCAAAAAAGAAGAGGACCCCCTTCCCGTGGAACAGAAGAAGAAACGAAAGAGATACAAGAGCACTAAAACCTATGTTTGTGATCACTGCGGCAGGGAATTCAATGACAAGGGCAATCTCAATTTGCACGTTCTGCGCCACACTGGCGTCCGTCCATTCGAATGTCCGGAATGCGGACAAAAGGAGTTCAATAAGTACATCTTGAACATTCACATCCGCGTGAAACATCGCGGAGAGAAGCCCTACGCCTGCAAATTTTGCGATGAGAAGTTCGAGACCAGCATTAAGCGAACGCGCCACTCAAGGTAACTAAATGCATTGCGTTCTGTGATTCAGATTACTTAATATTTTTTAATAATTGTCTTTCAGGAGGACGCACGAAAAGCATCAGATAAAGCCAAAACCCTATAAGTGCTCGGCCTGCGACAAGCGGTTCGAATTGCCTTCTCTACTGACGAAGCACGAGCAAGTTCACTCCGGAGAACGTAAATTTTCGTAAGCAATAGCCAAGATAGATATTTATTTTATTATTTATACCAAAATGAATTTTGGTTACATTTATAAAGAAAATCCTTTAAATTCCCTCAACTGATCCTCTTTTTACTCCCACAGGTGTGAATTATGCCACAAGTCCTTCACCCGCAGCGGCAACCTGAAGACCCACTTCAAATCAATGCAGCACAAAAATAATGTGTTGGAATCGAAGAAAAAACCCAAGCCAAAGCGACAAATAATAATAATTAATAACCCTAAATTGGTTGTATAGTTTTAAGTTTATCATTCACCCGGCTTCGCGTGCGCAGCATTTCCCATTCACCAAAAAGGTCAACATTATTTTGTAAACAAAACCACAGCTGCTAGAATACAATTTTTCAACCAAATTAAAGATAATTAAATAAAAAATAAGTTTGTAAGATGTCGATGAAGTGTCGCATTTGCGGTTTGTTGGCGGATTTCGGCAGGAAGCTATTTGATATTGACGGCGAGGGTCATCTGAAAAACATCCACAGTCTGACGGGGATTTGGGTAGGTTTACCTACTTGAATGAGGAATGTTTTATAATTTAAGTTCCATGTTCGATTCCAGTTAATTGATAAGCCCGGTGTGCCCTCAACAATGTGTCTATCCTGCCTGCTCGACTTAAATGCAGCTGTTGCCTTTCGCCAACGGTTAATTAGGACAAACCATTCTTGGTTGGAGGCTCAGCTCGATCACTCGAATAAACAGGAACTCGAGCCCGGAAACTTTTCCAGTACTATTCAAGATGATCTTAAGGGAAGTCTAGAGCCTCCTAGTTCTTTAGAAAAGCCTAGGAATACAGCTAGAAAGAAATTCACACCTTTGCGCTACAGGGAACCGGATGAGATGCCATCCAATGCGGTAAATCAAGATGACTTCGTATTGTCTTCAGCTGGAGATCCCTCAATTGATCCTCCTCTGTGCGAAGATCTCATAAGGGTGAAAAACGAACCCCTGCTGTCGGACACTGAGCTAGAGGATACCAGAAACCAGCAAGGAAACCTCGAATACCATCTTTTAATGAGGCAAGATCTCAAAGGGGTAGAAAACAAACCCCTGCTAGTGGACACAGAGGTGGAGGATACCAGTAGGGGGGTAAGAAATAGTGGGCCACCAAAGAGGAAGAGAGGACGCCCAAGAAAAGTCCAGCAAGTTTGCTTCTTCTCGTGCGAAGAGTGCGGCACATCATTCATGGAAAAGGACGAGTACGAAGACCACCTTTTGCGACACTCCAGCTTTAAGCTGTTCCAGTGCGAGGAGTGCAATCACCAGGAGAACACCGCCCACCGGCTCAATTTGCACGTGCGGATCAAGCACCGCGGCGAACTGCCATACATGTGCCGGTTCTGTGGCCAGAGTTTCGACAGGATTATGAAGAAATTGCGACACGAACGATGCCACAAGGAGATCCTGACTACTAGAGTTTTTAAAAAGCATTGCTAAGTTGTATCATGAATAAATATTTTATTATATTTTTTGAAAGAAATAAAATGTATATAAAAGAATCTAAAAATGCAGAAAAAGTTCAATGCTAAACTAAAAACAATTTTTTCAGTGTTAAATTTGCCATTCCCATAAGGGCACCGGGATTTTTGCCATTCACCAAAAACGGCAATATTCAGTTGTAAACAGAAGCGAAGCCCAAAATTATTTACTAAAACTAAATAAATTGGCTAAAAAGGATAAAAAGGGCGGAGATCATCGAAATGGCCCCGCTGTGTCGCACTTGTGGCCAGGAGGCGGAGCATGCCAAGACACTCTTCGACAGGGAGGGCAGCAACGTCCTGTGCAACATCCTTAAGCTGACAGGAATTTGGGTACGCCGTCCTACCAAAAGGATATAATTTTTAATAATAATATTAATAATAATTGCAGTTCGGTAACCACCCCGGAGTGCCCACAAAGATCTGCTTTTCCTGCGTGCTGGACCTCAACTCTGCCGTCGCCTTTCGGGAGCGTTGCATCAAAACGAACATCTCTTGGTTCAGCGATCAGGATAAACCAGAGCCTTTGGCCACTGACACTGCCGATGAGAAGGATATTAGCAGAGAGAAACGCAGGGGTAATATTTTACCTCTCCCTGCACACAAGCTCTTTGGGCAGGGAAAGATTATACCAATACGCAGCAAGAAACTGGATACGATTCCGACTAGGACCATAGGCGACCATACATATCCATTGAACGCTCCTGAATCCCCATCGACTGAACTCGAGGATCCCCTGAAGTGCGAAGATCCTGTCTACATAAAGGAGGAGCCCCTGCTTTCAGATGAGGAGCCTGAGCAATCGGGAAATGAAGAGCAGGAGGAGATACAGTCAGACGAGGAGATACAACAAGATGAGGAAATACGGACAGATGAAGAGATACAGAAAGCTGAGGAAATACAACAAGTTGAGGAGATAGAGCCAGATGAGGACATACAATATGATAAGGATATACAGCAAGATGAGGATATGCAGTCAGATGAGGAGCACTTAGAAGATAATGATGAGGAGATCGTCGAAGATGAGGAAATAGTTGAAGATGACGAGATACAGGGAGATATGGAGGAATTACTACAAGACGATGAGGAGTTAGAGGATTATGAGGAGGAGCTACTAGAAGATGAGGAAACAAATGAAAATGGGGAGGAAATACAGCAAGATGAGGAGGATTTAGATTTCGAGGAGGAGATGCTAGAAGATGAAGAGTGGTCACTGGATGGTGATGAGGACTTAAACACCAATGAAGTCAAAATGTATGATTCAAGTACACTCCAATCTCTAGTACCTGAACGACCATCTAAAAGAAAGTTAAAAAAATACACCTCTAATTCCAAATCGAAAGAGAACCCTCCTCCGGAGCCTGCGAAAGGAAAACGAAAAAGGAAGAAAAGCGCTACGATTTATGTATGCGATCACTGCGGCAAGCAAATGAATGACAAAGGCAACCTCGACACGCACGTCCTGCGACACACTGGCGTCCGGCCATTCGAATGTCCGGAATGCGATCACCGGGAGATCAATAGATACACCCTAAACATTCACATTCGAGTAAAGCACCGCGGAGAGAAGCCCTACGCCTGCAAATATTGCGATGAGAAATTCGAGACCAGCATCAAGCGAACTCGACATACAAGGTAACTACATCTATAGTGTTTCCTGCAATTAGACTTATATATATATTATTTTTAGGAGGACCCACGACAGAAAGTTGTTGGAACTAAAACCTTACAAGTGCTCTTTCTGTGGCAAGGGGTTCGTGCTCAATTATGAAAGGACGAGCCATGAGAAATTGCACTATGCAGAACGTGAATTTACGTAAGACATAATCAGATTTAATTTAGGGAAATCTATATTTGCATTTTCTTCCATAGCTGTGAAATATGCGACATGTCCTTTAACCGCAGCCATAACCTGAACCTCCACTTTAAATCAAAGAATCACAAAAGGAAAGAGTTGGAGGCAAAACGTTGAATCCAAAACAGTTCTTAATTAAATAGGATTACTTTTTTTTAAGTTATGAATGATTTTTTAAAAATGCTGACAAAATGTCTAATTGTAAATAAAATGTAAAGCAACGGTATTTCAAAAAAATATGTGTCCAAAAATAAAAATAAATAAATCTTTTACAAAATTTGAATTTGTTGGGCAGTGTTCATTTATCATTCACAATAGGTAACCTGCATCTTGTCATTCACGCAAAAGGGTAACTGCTAACCAGTAAACAAACATTACTTTGGTAAAAAGAATTCATGAAAAATTATCTTACAAAGCCATTAAAGAAGTCACGAAGACCAGCAAAATGACCACGATGTGTCGCACCTGTGGTCAGCAGGTGGATCAAGCCCAGGCCCTCTTTGATAAGGAAAGCAGCGTAGTCCTGTACAACATATTCAAGTTGACTGGGGTTCTGGTAGATATTTTACCAGCTATTAATACTTCTTAATAATATTTATAAATCCATATTCTATTGCAGTTAAGTGACAAGCCCGGCGTGCCAACAAAGATCTGTTTATCCTGCCTGCAGGATCTCAACGGTGCCATCTCCTTCCGGGAGCGCTGTATCAGGACGAACAACTCTTGGTTCGATAATCAGGACACAAAAGAGGACTTTGACGTTCAAATGGAGGAGGACATTAGCCAAAACGAACTTCGAGTAATAATTGTGCCTAAAAGAAGCCTAAATCAACCAGAGAGTTCACCGCAAAACAGCAAAAAGCTGGATGGGGTTATGTCGATGACAATAGATGATCCTATTGATCGCTTGACTGCCCCGGATGCCACTTCTGTTGATTTCATGGATCCTCTGAGATGCGAGGATACTATTCAAGTAAAGGTGGAACACCTGCCTACAGATGGAGAGCCTACAGAAAAGAAACCCAAATCTTCAACAAGAAAAAAACGCGGCAGACCAAAAGAAGACAATAAAAGCAAGGCAGAAAAATACGAAAAGCGAAAAAAGTTAGCTGCGGAAAAGAGAGCGCAGGCGAAGGATCAGAAACCATATTTCTGCGATCAATGCGGGAAAACCTTCAGCGAAAGGGGCAACTTCAATGTCCACCTCACGCGGCACAAGGGCACCAAGGAGTTCCAGTGCCAGGAGTGCGATCGCAGAGAGTTCACCCAACACCTGCTCAATCTGCACGTGCGGGTCAAGCATCGCGGCGAACTGCCCTATGTGTGCAAGTACTGTGGCCAGCGGTTTGATAATTGCCTCAAGAGGCTGTTCCACGAGCGGAAGCACAAGGAGAGCCCTGACCACCGACCGCATGTGTGTTCCATTTGCAAGAAGGGATTCAAGAGCACGACGTCCCTAAGAAACCACAGCGTAGTGCACACGGGCGAACAGCCTTTCCAGTGAGTTAAATTCTAAGAGTATTTATTGTCCGGAACTAACTTTAAAACTCTTTAGCTGCGAACTCTGCCAGACGCACTTCAATCGCAGGAACAGCCTGAGAACCCACTACAAATCCAAACAGCATGTCATTAAAGCCGAGGAGCAGGCAAAACAACTGGAGGTCGAAGACGATACTGTTCCGGAAGATGGGTAAAACATTAATACAATAACCATCCCAAACATTTTGCACTTGTTTTTAAATTTTTTTTTAATGTGTATTATATATAGCCGTTATGAAATGAAAAAAAGTGTTTTTAAATAGCTCTTACAATGTTTTACCATTAAAAATTAAGCAAATAACTATAGTTAAAAAGTTAAAAATTTGATTTTAAAAAAATCATATTTGTTTTGTATTTACTTTCAGTGCCTATTAACAAAGCATGTTCAAAAATACAACTTGTTTGTAGCTCAGTGTTAGATTTGCGATTCGCACAGAGACGTCTGCATAGTTTTGGCGTTCACCAATTACGGTGACATCTTTAAGGTAAACAGAAGACCAACTATGCATGCTTTTTAAACAAAACAATGGAATTTACCTTTCCTGGAAGACAAAAAGGATATAAATAAAATGCCCACGTTATGTCGCACTTGTGGCCAGGAGGCGGAGCATGCCAAAGGACTCTTCGACAAGCAGGGGAGCGACATCCTGGGGAACATCTTCAAGTTGACAGGGATTCGGGTACGCTGCCTGTTAAGGAATAACATTCGTAATATAATAATATTAATTTCAGTTAACTGACCACCCCGGAGTGCCCACAAAGATCTGTTTGTCCTGTCTGCTGGACTTGAATGATGCCATCACCTTCCGAGAAAGGTGCATCAAAACCAATGTCTCTTGGTTCGAAGATGAGGATCAACCACAGGAGGAAATTTACATTTCCGATGAGGAGGATATTAGCCATCAGGAAAAAAGTGTGGAAATTCTACCTAAGAAAACGGTGCCCATAAAGATAGTGCCCATTAAAACTGTGCCCAACAATGTGGTGTCTATAAGTATATTCCCTATCAATAATGTTACTGTTGGACAGACACAAAAGGTCATTAAGCAAGCAACGATTCCACGTCAAGGCGACAAGAAGCTGGATAAGATTCCGAAAAACCTTTCTTCTGATCTTGTGGTTCCCCTGAGTCGTGAGGACCCTCTACAAGTAATGAATGAACTCCTGATTTCAGACAAGGATCCTGAGGAATCCATTATTCAAGAAAACCTAGTGGTGGAAAACATAAACCCAAAAACAAAAACAAGAAAATCTAAAATCCAACCAGTTATAGAAAAACGTCCACCTTCAAAGAGAAAAAAACCTGAGACAAGTGAGGCACAGTCCAAAAACTTCACGGAGAAGAAACCTAGCCAGGAATCCGATAGGAAAGAACGTTCGGCAAGGCACATGAACGTAAAGATGAAAGAGCTTCTTCTGGCGGAGGATAGTGACGAAGCTCCTCCGGTCACAACGAAAAAGACGCAAGCAGACAAATGTGCTACGCGAAATAAAGGGAATGCAGTGGATAAAAAGCTCCACTTTTGTGATCAATGTGGAAAATCCTTCGCAGAAAAATCCAACTTTAATGTACATATGAAACGTCACACTGGCACAAGGGAGTTCCAGTGCCAGGAGTGCGACCGCAAAGAATTCACCCAACACCTGCTCAATTTGCATGTGCGGATCAGGCATCGCGGTGAACTGCCCTATGTGTGCAAGTACTGTGGCCAGCGATTCAATAATTGCCTCAAGCGACTGACTCACGAGCGGAACCACAAGGAGAGCCCCGTCCACCGACCGCACGTGTGCCCCATCTGCAAGAAGGCCTTCAAGAATTCCCAGACCCTCAAGAACCACAGCGTGGTGCACACGGGCGAACAGCCATTCCAGTGAGTTCACTTGAAATACCTAGTTAGTTAAATCCTTACTCATATCTGTACTTTTCAGCTGCGAACTTTGCCAGACGTCTTTCAATCGGAGGAACGCCCTGGCCACCCACAAAAAATCCAAGCATCATAGATTGAAACTTGAGCAACAGGCGGAAAAACTTAATAGCTGAGGATTCTTCTTTAAATTTTGTTTTGCTAGACTGTAAGGACTGTTAGGTATACAAGTAATACTTAGGAAAAAGATGGCTACGAAAACGTTTAAAATTGTAAAAACACTTTTGTACTTCTGTACTCTTATAAATTAGAAATCTTTTTAAAATGCGCGCCATGTGAACGAACTAGTTCCGATGTATTTGTATAAAGCCATGGGCGTAGGAGAAAGCTTTCGTTTTCAAGTTAAACAAATTTATTAAATGTTTTGCTTGTATAAATAGAATGAAATCAAGAGACATGGCTTAAAAATTTAACAATAAAAACAAGCTAAATGCTTTCATGTTTATATTACAATCCCCCTAAAAATATTTTGTCTACGCGCATGTTTCCCGTCTGCAACCCCTACATTGAGGCTGTGCAGCCCTGCGAACCCGGCTTGCTGTTTTGCTTTTGCAGAAATTTCGCACTTTGCCGGCAAAGGATGAAGTGCGCAGTTCACAGCGCTGCGGCTACGCACGTTTTGCAACTCCAAAGCAAAGCATCCCGGTAAAAACAAAAGCATTTTCTCGACTTTTCCGAGTGCCCGCGAAAACTTTCCACCGGAAAAACAACGCAACCCTGCTAGAATTGAACCCATCCTATTAATTGCGGTGAACTTTCAAAGATGAGATCGTCAAAGGCGGCCGGTGATTCAAAATGGGTGTGTCCCTCCAACTCCTCATGTGTATCATAAATATTCTAATCACGTTTCTGTATACCTTTTGACTTTTTGAAGCAGAACCTGCTGTTCGAGAACAAAGACAAAGACCATGTGGAAAAGGAGCTTGGAAAAAAACGCTCCCCGAAACAAATAAACAAAAAGCTGGTGGACCTTTTTCTGCCGGATTTGGAAGCCGCTAACACCACCGATTATATTGCCACTCCCACGCCAGACAGCGCCTTCTTTGATAGCCACTCCGAAGGAGAAAGCACTGGAGTCCAGGATGGTGATCCGTTTCTGGAAAAGAAGTGCCGCACCTGCTTTCAAATCCCATCATTGGATGAAGATGTCAAGGATCTCTACGAGAGGGACAACATTGCGCTCCTCTATCACATAGAAGTTACCACCGGAGTTTGGGTAGGTTGGAAAAAGGGTGGGTCAATGTGTTCTGTATTCTGCTCAAAAATTGCGTGGGTTCCGCCTGAAAACGTAAACCACCCTTGCCAAAATGTGAATTTTGTTTTTCGTACCTTTGCAAATAGTTGATAATATTATTTAGATAAGAAAATGTTGTAAAAATATGTTTAAATATTTAAAAAGTTTATAATAATGTCTACTTTGACTGATCATGATTCCTTAAGTGGAGTTTATTCTGAAGAAACGATTGTGCTTATCAACTAAATATTTTTAATTTTATACATGCATACATTTATGCATATTTGATAAGCCAACAATTTTTATTGTATACATCTGAGGATATGTATATGTATAATGCAGATCTGAAGACGAAGTGCGAGTTTGCCTTTTATTAAATATTTATTTTCAATATAGAATATATTTTAAATAAGCATAGTTATTTTCCTAACAATAATATATATTTATATTATTAAATTCCACGCAGATAGAAACCGGAGAAGAGGGTCTTCCGCACCACATCTGCGCAACGTGCCAGGAAACCCTGCAGAAGTCCGTAGATTTTCGAGATAAGTGCATTCAGATTGATAAGAAGTTTAAGCAAAACAAAAACCAAAATTGTGACGATGAAATTGAATCGGAACTGGAAAACGTTCTGTACGAACAGTCCGTCCAGCAAGCGAGTGAAGTCCCAGGAATAGAATTCAAGACCACAGAGTGTGGGTCGGATAGTGAGTGTGTCCTGGATGAGAAGGACTTTCCACCGGATCTGGATTCGACGGACTTCTCTTCAGGGGAACAGGATTCAATGCTAGATGAAGAGACAACAGATTTCCTATTGAAGAAACGAAAATCATCGAGAAAACCAAAGAGAGCTTGCAATGAGATTGTAAGCATTAAGAAATGTGTAACCAAAGAAGAAATTGGAAAGGTCGATCATGGAGCTGAAGTCTATAAGGTTGTGCTAAGCGAATGTAATCGCAAGGATGAAACCAAGCCCAAGTATTCGCTTCCAATGCCAAAGCGTCTTCTTCCAAGAGTGAGCTTGGAGGAGAAAAATCGTAGGCGACGCGAAAGGGTTCGTGCCAAACCATTTAGCCATATCTGCGATAAGTGCGGTCACTCCTTCCGCGAACAGGGACAGCTGCAGATGCACTTGCTTCGGCATAACAAGGTTAAAAACTTTGATTGTCCCGAGTGCCCGAAGAAGTTCTATGACGCCTATACGCGCAACATTCACCTGAGGGCCCGACACAAGGGCGAAACCCCATTTCCCTGCAACCATTGCAACCAGTCGTTTCCCAACGCAAGCAGTCGCCATAGGCACGAGCAGTAAGTGTAATATATCCTATCTAAATATATAATATATTATTTTAGTAATTACTGTGATTTTTTTAGATTTTTATGTCAATCTGTTCTGGGTGGAATTTGCTACTGACCGTTTTTTAGGGGTCTACTTATATAATAGTTTAGATTAATCTAAATCTTTCCAATTATTACAGAAAAGTTCACGGGGCTGGTTCCCGGATTCTCGCGCGGCAGAAGTCAAAGGAAGACGGCTCCGATCGACACTATTGCACCAAGTGCACGAAGAGTTACTGCACCAAGAATGCTCTAACCTTACATATGAACTCCCACAACGGAGTCAGGCCCTTTAAGTGCAAGGTTTGCCAGAAAGAATTTATGGACCCATCTGCTAGGAAGCGACATGAAGCCAGACACGATAAGTTTCCGTTTTACTGTGATATCTGCTCCAGGGGATTCTTGCTGCGCTCCCAACTTATCAAGCACCAGGACGTTCACACGGGGGATCGTCCTTATTGGTAAGTCCCTAATAACTTTCTAAATATCAAACTAATAAGTAATACTTTTTCCTGGCAGGTGCGACTTCTGCGATGTTCATTATCGTTACAAGTATAAACTAAACGAACACTATAACAGCAATATGCACAAGAACAGTGTGCTAAAGGCTCAGGAAGAGGAATACAATGGACTGCAACAAACACTTCAAGATTTTTTGAACTTCTGAGTGATATCAATTTGCTTACTAATGAATCTCAAACGTATCTCAAAACTAGGACTAAGACATAAGCACAAGAAGTACGTGCCAAAACTCAGGAAAACACATCAGAAATATCTGTAGACAGATGTTTTCTTTAATCTTATTCATTCTTAATATTTGATACTCAAGTGAAAAGATACTCGAGCGCACATGAAGCAGGTGCCAATATATATAATTTTGTAAAAATAAATATTGCTATTTCGTAGTAGTACATTCCAAAATCAGCAATATTATCAATTTATTAGCCACAAACACGTCTAAGCTGAAAAAAGAAAAGACTTGACAAAGAAAAAGATACTCGAGCGCACATGAAGTAGGTGCCAAAGCTCAGAAAGAGCAGACAAGATGTCATTGATATAATTTTGTAAAAATTAATATTGATATTTCGTAATACTACATTCCAAAATCAGGATTATTATCCATTTATTAATAAATGTATTAACCACAAACACGTCTAAGCTGAAAAAAGAAGAAAAGACTTGACAATTTATGTATTTAAAACATGTAAACCGTATGGCTCAAATAAAGAATGTTAAAGAAAATGGTATTTTGTTTTATAATAATGATAAGAAAGTAAAGAATGATTTGTTTTTCAAATACGCCTCCCCAAAAATAAATCTTCATTGTCTTCTGTTAAAATACTTTTATAAAAGATAATTTATTCTGCTGATTTTACAGTTCAAATCTATTAAAGTATATCAACCATCTAAGGGGGAATGGTAGGGGTAAGAGTAAGTAGTAACTGGGGGAATTCCTGTAGGCGGTAAATGAATGTAGCCAGATGATGACCTTATGAGTCTCGCTGCCTAATCCTTGAGGATTTCGTTGACGGCGTTGACGACGTGGCGGGCAGAGATGCCGAACATGTCGATGAGGACGGTGGGAGGACCCGAGCGTGGCACAGTGGGCACGAACAGGTGCTTGACCACAAAGTTGCGCTCGCCAGCCAGGGCACTCAGCACAGCTTCACCCAGACCTCCTTGCCTGAAAGGGATGAAGAAAAGCAGACAGTTAGCAAAGTATTATCATTAAAAAGGTTTCCAGTAGGACTTACTGGTAGTGATCCTCCACAACGACCACACGTCCTCCGCACTGCTTGCCGTGCTCGATAATCAGCTCGGCGTCCAAGGGCTTAATGGTGAAGGGATCGATCACACGGACGGTGATGCACTTCTTCTCCAGCTGATCGGCGGCGGCCAGGCACTCGTACAGGGTGATGCCGGCTCCGATCAGGAGCACCTCGTCGGAGCTCTTCTGGCGCACAACCTTGCCGCGTCCGATGGTGAAGGGCTCCTCGTTGTCGTAGATCACGCAGGTGTTGGGACGCGACGTCCGGATGAAGCAGACGCCCTTGGTGTTGGCGGCCAATTCCACGGCACGCTCAGTGCTCACAGCATCCGAGGGATAGAAGATGGTGCTGCCGGGAATTGTGCGGAACATGGCAATATCCTCGAGACCCATCTGCGAGGGACCATCCTCACCGATGCTGCAGCCGCAGTGGGAGCCCACAAAGTTCACGTTCGTCTGCGAGATGGCGCCCATGCGGATCTGATCGAAGGCACGGGTGAAGAAGGTGGCAAAGGTGGACACAAAGGCCACAGTGCGGCGACGGCAAGCGGCTCCCACGGCCACGCCCACAAGATTCTGCTCAGCAATGAAGCACTCGATGTAGCGCTCCGCATCGAGGGCCTTCAGCTTATCGGAGAAAGTGGAGTTCTTGGTGTCGCCATCCAGGGCAACCACACGCTTGTTGTTCTGCCCAATCTTGGCCAGAGCTGTGCCATAGGCCAAACGGGTGGCAATGGAATCACCCAGCTTGTAGGCTGGCGGCGAGCTCAGCTTGACATTGCTGATGTCCACCTCGGGAGCGGCGCCCGTCTTGGACACCGGCTTGGGCGACAGCTTGACATCCTTGTTGACAATCAGACCCTGCAGATGCTTGACCACCTCGGCGGCCTTGTCGCCCAGCGGCTTGCCGTGCCAGTTGTCCAAATCCTCGATATTGGGGAAGTCCTTGCCCTTGAAGGTCTTGGCAATGATGGCGGTGGGCTTGCTCTTGGTGATGGCAGCGCAATGGAAGGCCTTGGTCAGCTCCTCGACATCGTGGCTATCGACGACCACGGCATTGAAGCCGAAGGCCTCCAGACGATCGCGGTAGACGTCCAGTTTGTGCTGCAGCGAGGTGGCCTCCGACTGACCCAGACGGTTCACATCGAAGATCACGCAAAGGTTGTCCAGTTTGTAGTGGCCGGCAAAGTGCAGCGACTCCCAGATGGAACCCTCGGCGGACTCGCCATCGCCCACCACGACATAGGTGCGGTAGTCGGCCTTGTCGAAGTTCTTGCCCACATAGGCCATTCCAGCGCCGACGGCGACTCCCTGGCCCAGGGATCCGGTACCCACATCGATGAAATTCAGACGCGGAGTCGGGTGACCCTCCAGATCGCTGTCGATCTTGCGCAGGTTGTTCAGATCCTCGATGGGGAAGAGGCCAGCCTCAGCCCAGGCGGCGTACAGGATGGGGGCCGCATGTCCCTTGGACAGGATGAAGCGATCGCTGGAGGGATCGCGCGGGTGCTTCAGGTTCAGTCGCAGCTGCTGGAAGAACAGCACGGACATGATCTCGGCGATCGAGGCACATGATGTGGGATGTCTATAGCGAGGGAAAATTACAAAATATTAGATTGTTGCATAAACTTTGTAAATTTTATTCTGGGTTAAGGCAAGTGAAGCCGACCTTCTCGTGAGTCTATGAAGGCCGAGGTGCAAAAGGAAAGTATGACTTGACTATCATATTGCGAGATTTCTATTTATATCTATTTTTTATCACTCATAGTACTACTAATTCACATATTTAATTTTATAAAAATTATAAAATAAATATAAACAATATCTAATAGGATATTCTTTAATGTTAAGATTTCTAGAAAGTTCTAATATCAATAGTATCCAATTTCATAGTATAAATAAATAGGATTACATCGATTTCGCAAAACTCCGAGTTCCCATAAATAAGATAAATTCCAAAAGAGACGGCTGCAAATTGCAGATCTGGCACAACTCCAACCGCAAAAACACGCAATCCTATATCAAGAGGGGGGCTCGTCTTACCCACAGACATAAGTATAAATAAACCATATCGCGTAAACAAAAGTATGTGCATATATGGTGTGATTTTCTGGACTAGGGCGAGAGTAAATCGCAATTCCTCACCGGTTTTAAGACCTTGAACTTCAATGATCCCCAAAAAAATACGAAACAATAGCCCTAAGAACATGATTATTGGGTTTCACGATGGGGTTGCATGGTGATCTGCGTCTGCGCACGTGTTTCTAGAATCTAGATAGTTCCCAAGTGCGTCCCCATTTCCTCCAGCCATATCAAGAACTATTGAAGGTGATACCGGGTGTCAGCAGTGACCCGGCTCGCTTATTTTATCAATTTTCAGTGATTTTTGATTATCATGCGGGGAACACACTTGAGCTGGTCACCTCTAATCGGTCATATCGTTGCCAGTGAGTAACCAAACCCCGCTTATCTCGCCAGCAGAGGTCACATTTAGAGCAAATAGAACAGATCTTATCTTGAACCGTCACAAATGAAAAAAAATGGAAAAACTAATGGAGGCGATAAAAGTGTTTCCTTATCAGCATACTCTATTTTTTATTTACTGTTGCACCAACAATTTAGTAGCGTCTATGCGAGATATAATTACATTGATAGCCATAAGGTCGTAAATCTCGAGTGTAGGGGATCATTCCATTACTATCCCCATCCCTTTCATTCCCGTCACAAGCTGTGCTTTCCAACACTTTGATATTAAATGTTTGTACATTTGTATTTTCGTATGTCACGCCATGTGTGTTTGTGTGTGTGAAGGCGGCGTCGGCTTTTTGAAAGCCACGCACAAAAACAAAACAGAATTTAAAAAGCAGTAAGAGAAAAAGCTAATTTTTCAAGGTTGTCGAAGGTCAAAAAAATATTAGCCCAGTAATTAAGGTGGATGTGGCTTATCAGTGAGCACGCAAACAGGGCGAAAAAATTCGCGAATTCACTAAAGTCAGTGGAAAACACGTGGCTTGGTAACAGAAAGTCAGGGGCGGAGAGGGGGTCTATATTAAAAGCAACCGGTCTCCCTAAATTTCTTTTAAGTGAAAGTTTAAAATTATATAACTTAATATATTTAAATTTTGCAAAACAAATAATAACCCCTTTAAATCTTTTCCTATAGCTACCCCTGGGATAGAGGGGTCACCTTTTGAAGCAACAAGTGCAAGGTGCACAACTTTTGAAATTCGCAGCTCACACACAAATATATGCACACTTTAATTTGCTAATGGGCTTCGATTTATTCGTTAGCTTACCCCGACTTGGACGCCTGAGTGGCGTTGATGGAGTGAATACGCAGCTTCTGGGCGAGATCTTTCAGATCCTGGACGGTCTTGGCTTCTGGCTTGTGGTACGACATCTTGCGAATATTCACGTGAACTGGATTCGAACAAATGCGGTCTTTGATATGCGGTTGAACAGCAGCGACTCTCGAGAGTTTCGGATTCGTTAGCCAAAGGGTGACGCCTCTATGTTTGCAAAAGACAGACAAGAGCTTCGACGTGGTGGAGGAGCTGGAATCGGAGTAGTGAACGGACCGCTGCAGCCGGCTTCTGAAAACGAAGTGCTCTCGTCGCCGGCGCCTCGGTCGCTTTTAGGCTGTGGGGGCTCAATCTTGGGAGCGCACTCGCTCTCGCACTCGCAAAGTCACCGCTGTGTGGAGTCCAAATGCCCTGCTCACGCTCTAAACTCGTCGGCGCTGGAACGAGATAGATATATATAGACATCAGTTAGGTTCGCACCCTCAATCTGGGCACAGTTGCGGGTAGATAACTAGTCATGATTGAGATGGATCCAAGGATAAGATAAGATAGTTTTGTTTATTAATTGAATTGTTAAAAACAGTTAAAAAAATAACTAAAATATTAATTTATTTAATTTAATTAAGGGCAAGCGAACTTTGGCCTTAAATTGTAATGTAACTTTCTACAAATAAACAAATGTATCTTTTCACGCTATTTAATATTATTTAAAATTTATATTCATAAATTATGAATCATAATATAATAAATATCTCAAATAGCATGTTTAA